CTGAGGGTGGTGCAAATTACATACCGTTATTTTGGTGCAAATTACAAACTCCCGGCGTGCTGGGCTTTTTTGAAAAGGGAGGCGGGGAATACGAATTTTTGATTATCATCAGACCACGTTATAAATGACGGTAAATATAATCTCATTGCACGTGACACCCTCACCCCTCAAGTACGAGCAAGCCCTTGCTCCTGACGTTACAATGTCAGTATTATAATTATATGCAATATAGTCGCTTGTCGACTATAAAGAAACTAGAAAGACATAGCTTATTATCACATCCAGATATAGTGAAACCCTCGAGAGTCGTCGTCGACCATAATGATAATATTAAAAAGGTGGGTAAGTGGATGTCGCTCTGCTGTACTGTAGGTTACAAGTGGGTCATGGTATAATGGATGGTATTAAATTTGAATTCAATGATATAATATCATTGTATAAGAAAAACGATTCTGAGTGGAGACGGTATGTCAATCTAGGTATAAGACATATAGTATATTATATACTTATCGATGGTATTAAAAAAAAAATTGACCTATAATAGATACCTATAATAAATTCCAAATTAATCATATCACAATTTCCATTAGGTATCATATATGATATAATATCCCCGAATACTATTTTTAAATTACAACGAAAAACCAAGATCGTTAATATTGATTTTAATATGTAATTTCGTCCAAATTTGGATTTAAAATGTCTGTAAAAAATAACTGTGTTCATATATTTTTTAGATTTTTTGGTTACAGTATGAACTATTTATGAGAACTTTTGTTTTAAATTTTCAACTCTTAGTTATAAAAACTGAACATTTTATAATTTTTTAATTCCAACGATTGATAATTTTCGAGATTTTGATAAATTTTGTCAAAATTCCAACTTTAAATGCTTATAAAAAAAAATCGTGCCTATGTATTTTTAATATTTTTCAACTGACATTGTAACAATATATCAGTAGCCTTGTATTAAATTTTTACACTTTTTGGCCCAACAGATAAAACTTTATTGATATTTATAGAAAAAAAAACTAAAAAAAATTGAAAGCTGTAAATGTCCATAAACAGCTCAAAAAGAGTCAAAATATTTTCAAAATTGTATGGTGTATAGGAAATGCTTAATATAAACATTCAGTCAAATTTTCATGTATCTACAGTTATTCGTTTTTGAATTACAACAAAATAAGGAAATCGCTACATGAGAAATCGAGTGAAAATCCAATGTTGTAAAAATTTGAATTTCAAACGCTCATAAAAATTTAATTTGACTGTCCGGTAGAGATTTTTTAATTGATAAAGGTAGATAATCTTATAAGGAATCTTGTGTTTCATTTTCAAATCTTAGATTTAAAAAGAAAAATTTTTACGAATTCTTAACTCAAAATAATTTGCTAATTTTCGTGATTTTTCCATATTTTGTCAATTTTTGAACTTTAAATGCTTATAAAAAAAAATTGTGACTAAGGATTTTTAATATTTTTCATCTGCCTTTGAAACAACATATTAGGAGCCTTCTATTAAATTTTCAAGCTTTCGCAACCAACAAATAAAATTTTATTGATATTTTTAGAAAAAAAACTAAAAAAAAATGGAAAATGAAAATGTCCCTAAACAGTTCAAAATAAATCAAAATATTTTGAAAATGTTATCGTGTATAGAAAATGCAAATATTAACAACCAGTGAAAATTTCATGTATATACGTTCATTTGTTTTAGAGTTACACCAATAACCAAAATCGATTTTTTGGAAAACCGATTTTGCGTAAGAATTCCCGTTTTTCCTTAATTTTTCTTTTGTTTTTCTTGGCGCTTTTGAAAATTACTGGGAATTTTAAATTTTGACCTCCCCAATGCACCAATGATATTCACTTTCCAATCGAACAAGATACTGAAGTCGAAAATCGAAGCATTATTTCGACTACTTATCGTGTACACACACAAAAATAAAAAATAAAAATAAAAATAAAAATATAAAAATATAAAAACACACATCATTGTAAAATCAATACATTCATCGTTCCACTCAGAATCTGAAATCCAAATTTTTGCAACTTACAATAATAACAAGTTCCAATTCGCACAGTGCATCAAACGAATGACATTTTGGCACAAGTCTTACTGCATTTCAATGCGTCCAGTGAATAGTTTCATAAATATATTGATATACATAATATACAAGCACAACTGCAGTCTGCAGCGAGTGCATTTTTCATGACTGAGTTACACACATAAAAATACAGAGCGATTCACCAAGCTCACCTACATTTTTTCCTTTAATAGGTAATGAATTTAAATTTAAATTATGATTTTTTAAATATACTCATAGACCATATTTTAAAATCCTTGAATTTTTTTGGTTTTACTTTAGGAGTGTCCTGTATCAAAAACTTTTGATTTTTTTTTTTAAATGACAATCCCCCTTTGTTACTATTAATTATTTAGTAGATAATTGTTTTGAAAATGTCGATGCACCTATAGTTCAAAATTCGAATGAGTAATTTCTTAGTTATTAAAATGTTTGTATTGAGGATAATAGTCCTTAAAAATGGCTTTAAATAAAATATATAAAATAGACGTAAAACTGGATCTAGTATTTATTATACTTAGGCCATTTTTACAAATTATTAATATTTATGACTAAAACGTTCAAATTACCATAAGCTCCCATATCTTATAAGCCCATTATTATGGACCTTTTATCTTTAGAACACAAAGTTGAATAACTCAAAAACTACCCATATAAATTTTCAGGAAAATTATCCACTGTATAATTTACAGTTGAAAAGGGGTGTTCTCGTTTGAAACAGAAGTCTCTATATCTACTGGACAATCCTTAAGTAATACAAAAAATCTCAACAATTTGAAAATACGGTCTTTAAGTATATTTAAAAATTTCAAAAATCAGATATTGAATAACTGCATTATTGAAGAGAAAAAAAAGAGAGTGATCATTAGGGTTCGGATTTGAAGGCAAATGCCTTTCTTTTATTAATCATAATAGAAAAATAATTTTTATACAACAATGTGTTTCATTTAATTTCTTAGAGAATGGATCTTTTTTTTTTTTGCCTTTTTACTTATAAATGCCTTTTTGCCTTTTTTTTTACCTTTTGTTTATTTTGCATTAAATTAACTGATATAACTCAAGTAAGTTAATATTTAAAATTGTTTTTAACTAATTCTTAGGACAAACCTGGTTAAAGAAAAAGGTACCAAATCTATTTATACAAAATAGCATAAACTTAATGTAGTTTAGTATTCATGGTCATTTTTAATTTGTATTTTTCTCAAAATGTGTGCATTTAAAAGTGTTTAAAAAATGTTCACTATTTTATTTTGTAGTATATTTATGAATTGCCTTTTTATATAAATTAAATGCCTTTTTTTGCCTTTTTTTACATTTTAAATGCTTTTTTTATTGATTATATTGCCTTCAAATCCGAATCCTAGTGATCATGCTTGGTGAATCACTCTGTATGCTCGCATAATCAAAATATCGACCGTTAGGAGAAAGTCGTTACGAAGAGGAATGTAAGTATGTAAGTCTTCCGAGTAAAAGATTTCATCTAATATTGAGCTGAATTTATTAATAGATTCTAAAATAATAATGATAATAATAATCGTGTATACAAATAATAAATAATTTACATTAATTTATAATATATATAGGTATATATTATAATGTACATATATAATAAGTGTACATACCTATATGTATTTAGATCAATATTAAAAAAAAAAAAAAAAAAAAAAAACAACAAAATAATAATAAATAAAATAATGCACGGGCGAGTTATATTTTGTACAAATAAAAAAATAATAATAATAATAATACAGTATAGGTATTGTAATAATATATATATATAGAGTTTTACTTTTGTGCACACAGAAATTACTGAACCGCGGTCGACACAGTACAAAATCGTAATGTTTCAAAACAATAATTTTAATAAAAAAAAAAATACCATTCGATCGGTTAAAAAAAGTAAAGTATAATACCCGCCTCTGAGCAGTCGTCTATATTATAATATATAGGCGCGCTTGAGGCATGCGAATTCAGAATTTAAAAAATTGATTCATCCTAGAACGTACCCGTTGTCGTCTACTCGTTCACTAATCGGCTGCATATCAACACCGAACGGTAATTTATTGAATAAACAAAAAAAAAACAATTTCGAACGACAATTTCATTTTATTTTATACACACCCCGTGTGAGTGAGATGGGTAATTTTTTCGAATGCGGTTCGTCGCGGTATTCATATATTATACTATATATATTAATTGTAATTAATAATGATGATTTGTGTACAACTCGCGTACGCAGAGAAACGGATAAAACAATAATAATATAATATTCTAAACATTGACGATCACAAAAAAAATAATCGAACAAGGCGTATTGACAACAATACGCATTATTATCGGATACTCACATAATATTATTATTATTATTACATCGGGGGGTTCGTACAAGAGTGGGGCTCAGTCGTTTTATAAAAATTTACGAGAAGTTTCCGAATATTTTGTGTGTGTTGTATAACAATATATTATCATTATCAACGCTCTTCGGCGGGCAATCGACGGAAAACATTCGTTCGAGGGTTATATTGTAATAATATTATTTATAAGTAGTTACATACATACTAAAATGGCAAAGTCGATGGCTTTTCATTGGTCATCATTTACATACAACACTGTACCTACTAGACTATATTTAAGGTAATTTATCACATTACTTTTTTTTTTTCCATTATTCAATCTGTACAAACATAACGCATAATAATATAATAATTGTTTTAACTCATAAGTTTTGTGTATGCCTGTACACCGAATGGCCGACACGCGGCCGCCATTCGACTTGTTCGGCAAGCACCGTTTTTTTTTTTTTCCGTTCATCAGTCATCGTGAACTTTTTACAATGTAACAATGATAATAGTTATAATAATAATAATAATAATAATAATAATAATACTAATAATAATAATATCCATCGACTACCGCTATGACGCGGTTTTTACCCAAGTAGCTGGCACCCATTGCGGTTCTCTTTCTAGACTATTTATTTCGTTTAATAACTGGTGATACGCTCTCTCGGTGTCGTTATTGATGATGATCATGTCGAAGTAATGGCCGAACTTGTCTTCCATTTCCCTCGCCTTTTCAATGATCTCTTTCAGCTCTTCCTCCTGCAAAAAAAAAATAGAATATTGTTCATATAAAGTCATGCCACCGACAGATATCTAAATATCTAATATATGCAACATAATTGATCAGGTAAATAATATATTACAACGTCCCGCTTTCGGACCATGTGTCCCCCCCAAGTACTCAAAAATGTCTCGCCTTGAAAAAACGGCCATCTGTGTGCCCATTGCACTATATCAGAAGATACTTGGGTCATATAAATCCCCATGGTTAGATATATAATAATTAGGGCTCAATGCATTTGCATGTTTTTTTTGTGATATCTTACGCGATGCTTTCCTAGCTGCAAATATGTTTCAAGTACTTCGCAATCTAACCATAATAATTTTTGGGGCATTTTTTGACGGTTTTAATGCATTTTTTAATTGTTTAGGACATTTTTGACCTATTTGTCGTATTATGACTAAAAAAATTGACCTCATTGAAATATAAAAATATAAAATTTGACAACGCTTAAAATAAAAATAAAGGCTTTAACCAAATAAAAAAAATATGTCAAATATTAGAAGATATTAATCCAGAAAATATTATTCCAAAAGACTTAACACCTATAACGATCTGACATTTTTCAAGTTTGCTCCTATCACCTCAGTTGATGTAGAGAGGTCATTTTCAATATATAAAAACTTATTGGCAGACAACCGTCGATCATTTAAATTCCAAAACATTAAAGAAATTCTTATTGTACAATGCAATGCAAATATAATTTAATTTTTAATTTTAATTTTTTTTTTGTACATTGTAATATAATTTATTAATTTAGAATTTAGAATTTTTATTAGAATTTTACTTGTTCCTCGTTTTTTAATAATAATTAAATTTGAATTTATTTAATAAATAATGCATTTTTTGAAATTATTTAAATCCATCATTTAAATCCGAGCCCTAATAATAATAATTAAAGACCACCGACCACTGCAGGATGTAACAGGAAAACCTGACAAATGATTAGTTTTATATTTTAATTTCAAACTGCTCGGAGTTAGTTCTGTTTTAATTTTCACGAATAATTAAGCATATACATTTTCACTTCTAATTTGTTTTATTGCGTTCAACTGCGTTTTACTACGTTATTATTTTTACTGTTGTCATTTTACGCGAAAAAAAAAATAATACAATTTCAATAGACCGATGTGTTTTTCCTATAACAATTTACGAGCGACGCACTGCGAGGGGAAAAATGTATGGTAACGTTAAGTTTATGGCAATGCATACTTTGTAAGGTTCGCCGTTCTTTAGTCTCTTTTGGCGTAGTTTTTCCAAGGACGGTGGAGCTACAAACACGACGAAGGGCTTCAAATCGGAACTCCGGAGAATTTTCAACGACTGCGGGTGTAGGTTTAACACGCATATCTTACTGTAGTTGACCACCGACCGGATGGCGTCCAGCGACGTGCCTGTAAATTTATGATTTTTTACTCATTAGTACCTCTATTGTATGAATTTTATAGAAATTTATGATTTTTTTTTGTTTCATAGCTTAATATTATATTATACCGTAATAAGCTTTCTCGTATTCGCCGTGTTCAACAAACTTCCTCGACAGAATGTCCGATTCAAACTGAACCCTAGTGATGAAGTGATAATCTTGACCGTCTATTTCACCGTCTTTTTTCGCTCGGCTAGTATCTATAAAAAAAAAAACAAAACGATATAAGTTTGACAAATAAGACAATTTTTTTTTTTTAAGCCCATATAAAATTTATGGAATCAGACTAATGTACAGTGTATTTAATAATATTATATGGTCTATGATTATACTCACGGGGAATAGCAGCTGCAAACCTATCACGGTCTTCCATTAATCTCTGCCTGAGCTCGTGACGGCCAATGTTAGGTGGGCCAATCAACACAATTGGCCTCTTATGATTTGCCCGTGGATAATACAAGGCCACTTCTTCATAGGTCAGTATCTCTTCGGCTTCATATTCTATACACGATTAACAACATTGTTATGCATCATGGACATTTGTTTTCGTAAGCTAGGTAGATATAAATATTTAAAATTATATTTACCATCAGAGTTGGACGAATAAATGGGGTAACCTCCGTCTTGATACAGTGACTTCTTTTTCCTTTTTTTCAGGTTCTTTTTGCCACAGAGAAGCGTATTTTGTTTTTTGGGTTTATTCTTGTCAGGCTTCTCGCCGGTTATGGTTTGTTTTAATGCTTCACGCTGATGTTGAAAAGATTTGCTTGGTATAAGACCGGCCAGTGTTTGATCTTCTTCGCCCTCTCTGAACGCCTGCCACCAGTTGGCGTCTTCCTGAGATATAACATGTAAGATCTCACCCTTTTGGAAACTAATACCCAGTTCTCTGCATGGGATGTAACCATCGTCTTCGGGGTCGTAATCGAAGTGAGCTTTCATATGCATCTGTAATGGAACATACGAAATATTAATAATGACTAATAATATTCATAAACAAGTAGTGAGTAGGTACCTATTGTATTTTATTATAAGAGTATTATAAATGTATTCTATAATATAATCATTTCACTATAGGTAAGTCAATGAATGACTTACATTTCATATTATTCTAGGATATATTCTATTAAAATACAATTATTTCTATCTTTTGCATTCTGTTTAAAAGTTAACGCACAATATATTTGTAATTGCATATGTGATAAAGGTACCTTATAAATGGTATGTAACATTTTAAAAAGATTAGATAAAATATGTTTTACATACATGGATTTGTATTAATAAGATTAAAATAATTGAGAATGTTAATGGGTAGAATTTTAATTTAAAAAAGAATACCCAAAGGTTCAAGTACCAACGATATATCAAGTAAAACATTTGATTAGATTTAAAAAAAAAAAAACTTACGATGAAATTTTCTCGGTTCCCGTTTATGTTCTGGTATGTAACCCGATTAGCACTCGGTACAATCATGAACGTGAGAGGTCCAGTCATCACCGACAGGATATCACAGACATCATTTATGGACTTGCCGCGCATTTCTACACCGTTCACCTCCAACACTTCATCGCCCTCGTGGAGCAGTCCACTTTTTTCGGCAGCCCCACCTCTGACTATTCGGCCGATGATCACCGCATCACCGTCGTTTCGAACAGTGGCGCCCTGTATCCACACAATACGAGCGTTTTATGAGTTTTTGTTTGAACGATGTGACAAAAAAAATGTTGAAACAATACGCACCAATGGTTCGTTGGTTTTTTCGATATTGATTATTGTGATGTTGGGAGGATGTTGGTCGGTGTTGTACATCGATGAATCGTCCGCGGGTAACGTGACCGTTACCTCGGTAGTAGCCTCGTCGTCTTGCGGCAACACGTCCTGAGCTATGGTGTCGTGGGCCCAGAGCACGCCTTCGATTTCGTACTGGGACAATAGTTTAGCGAGTTCCGATGCTTCGGGCAAGTCACTGTTGTGAATGTTCTCGAGACACTGTTTTCGACAAAAAAAATATAAGTAAAAATGTAAAACGGTACTCTCGGTGTAAACACGAAATGGAAAAAATAACAACAACACGATATATAATACAGAGTGCAGTGGACTTACGTCTCGGACCAAATTTTGAGCTTCCGGAGTCACCGGCCTCTTGGTCGTGGTGGGAGACCACAACTGCTGCACCTTGTTGTGCACGGACAGCACGCGGACGAAATCCGGATTCAGCAACAGGCATTGGATCACGGCCACGTCTGGATCCGACTTGCCATTGATGTAGATCCCGTTCTTTTTCAGCTGCAAGTGAACCCTCTGGAGCGCGGCTATCAGTTCACCGTACCCTGTAAAACGACGACGACGACGACGATGATGAAAACGTCTAACGACCTGTACGCAGTGTGCGGCGACGCGACTGACGAAAAGCTTAAATCTATTATGATAATATTGTTGTATGTACGTCGTGCACGCGTGGGTTTGTGTATATAGCACGGTAAAATATACGCCACGCCGCCGCACACACGCTGTATAATAGTAATAATAATAATATTGTCGTCACGAGTGTTGGTGACAGGTTGTTATGCACAGGGCGTGCTCGTGGTGGCCGACTGCAAGTACCTGTGTAGTGGAATACTGTAGAACGACGTGACCTGAATGCCAGACGACATCATAACATCACATATAGCATTCCATTACGGTGTTTCCGACCGGAACACAATGAGGATACCCCTCGTAGTTTCCCCCTCCCACCACGGCATAGAAACCTACCTGGTCTTTTTTTCCCAATTGTATACGACGTACGAGAATCGCGTCTCGCTAAAAGGGAGACTATAAGTCCGGCCAGTGATACTACATCTTGAGAAAATTGAGGAAATAAAAATACCCGTGTGCTGAAAAGTGTCTTTATGAAATACCGGATTGACGTAGTATTTGCAGCCTAAGCTCTCTAAGCCGTATTTTAAGAGAGACGATCAAGTTGAGATTTTCCTAACGTTATAGAATCGTAACATATTATATTATTATATTATGTATGTATTAAAATTGCTCTATGTGCTTTTGAAATGTGCACATCAATTTCAGTTGTTATCAGTACTATATAAATAAATATTATCAGAGGCGTTGAAAGATTGTTTCGCTTATGGCAAGTGTCACAGATTAATAGTTGGAGAACTAGTTTTGTTAGCACTCATGAGTGGGTGGATCGTGGGTGGGTTGCATAAGTTTTAAAAATAATTATGTCATAGGGGTTTTAAAAGACATCGAGGTGCCTCTGAATATTACCTATTACATTTTAGTCGGTTCGTGAATGGTAAATCAGTTTAAAAAACAAATTAAACTATGGTATAATATATTAGGTACCTATATACCAAGTGTGCGTATATAATATTATTATAAAGAAAACTGGACAAAAACCACACTGATAAGTATAATTATTCAATTCTTAAGCCTTTTTTATTGTATATTTTTATTCTTAAAGTTTCTACCTATACAGGAGTCGTCAGCAGCTGAGTATACTTTGACAGAGGGGGGGGGATGAACAAATGTATGTCCTCGGGTGGCGCCACTCTGGTATATTGGCCTTGTCAATTCGTCTTGTATTTAGACTCACTCGCACACTGTCGAGACCCTGCCGTTATTGCTTCGTGTTTTGCCTACGTAATATTAGGTATAATATATACTTTGCTCGAATGACTTCGCAGGGACCTTTTCGGAAACAACGCGAACGCGAAGACGATAAAATTAAAAAGCCGAAATCGTATCACTCACCCACAACCCTGTATATCGGCTCGTACGGATCCTGCGATTCTTCTTCGGCGTCGTCCACCGCACCGATGGTGGTGCGGTTGTTGTCCTCGTCCTGTTCCGACGAAAACCCGTCGTTGACGATTCCCGTTTCCGGAGGTTCGTGTTCGAGCTCCCGAAGTTTTTTCGACCCTCTCATCGACCGATTGAGAAATTCGTTTTGTTGAGCGACCCTGTCCTCTTCTTCTTTTCGCTTCCGCAGCGCGTCCTATGCGTGCAAAAAAAAAACAATCGTCGTTATTATACGATTATATATATTATGATCACGGGCACCATTATAATGTGATATCATATTATATTGTATGGGTACTACAACAGGTGACGTATTAAAATTATTGTCGTTCAAAAGAAATGTCGACTTCTGTGTGAGATTTTCAAAAATCCTCCACGGGAACGTCCCGCGGCTTGTTAGGTGAGAATCGGGTATACGTATGATTATGAACGATAATATTAAACAAGTATAGGTATATAGTGCAATAGGTACCATCGATTCCGAAACCGTCGCCCGACGGTGGAGGAGTTCCATCACCGGAGTACGCGAAACCATCACCGCTATGAAATCTACTGTCATCCGGATAATAATAATTACGAACATATATTATTATAATATTATCACACACACATTCGATGTGGCCTGCACCAGCGTGTCACTCGGACGTGCGTACGAGGTGGTCTGACTAAAAAGTTACGCATAAATCCCGACGTTATGGTACCTATGTATTATTATTATTAGGTATTATTTTGTTATTATGTTTACGGTCCGGAGGACGACCGGATAAAGCTGCTGCTGCCGCGTACGGCACATCCGATTGGGAGGAGTAATGCACGAGCGCCGCGACGTATAGCTTCGACAAGGATATTGTATATTATTGGTGGGTACCTATACCTAGGTATAATATCGTACACGGGTAACTGGGTATATGGTATTTTTCGTTTGTTTTATAGTTTCCTACGATTATTATCGGACGACCACAAAATAATATAATATTATTTCCGTCGGTATAGGTATATGTATATTAGAGTCATTACTACACGATATCGCGAGCCGAAGTAGGTTCCGACCAGCAACTTTCGGTCGTATACTCGAGAAACTGTTTACCTATAATCTACGAGAGAGGTCGTCGTCGAGCGAAAGAAATGTGCACGAATTTTCTGAGAAAAACAAAAATGCGTTTTTTTTCTCATATCCAATCGCACATTGTGCAGTGTCGTTATGAGAATATACAAATAATATCGTAGGTACATTGTGTGGCCGTAACGATTCGTAAGCGTATTTTATGTGTTTGCATCGCGTTGCACGTATTTTTCACAATAATAATATTATATACCTTGCACGGAGACAGACACACTCATCGTGTTTGTTCTCGGCTTAGAGGTTTATTGATAAATATTATCGTAGTGTATATTACATTATTATTATTCATGTTTCGTGTATTGTGCTGCAGGTCTCACTCCTGGCGTTGCGATACAACGATAATATTATATCCGAGATAAGACGAGACGTCTTATTTTATTATTATTATTATTATTATGACATCAAATCGACAACGGTCTACCTATATTATTATATAATTTCTGCGGTTCTTAACATATATTATGTTTGAGTGGCTCAAATTGGCCAGTGGAATCGCGAAATTTGATTGTTCGAATAAAGATGCAAAACTATTTAACGCTATATTATTATTATTGCACAATGTATACGTTTTCTCGGTCTGTTACCTCACAAAACACGTCACTGCTGCAGCAGATAAGATTAGAATTAATGAAGTATTCTCTTGTTCTGTCGACGTTATTATGAGCACGAAACAATATGATTCAATCAGGTCGACTCAGAATTGAATAGAAATCATTGTTCTGCCGCACACCTACATGGCGATATATGTATATGGAAAGATTCTACCATTTCTTAAGTAGGTATAAGAATAAGCTTTAGTGTAATATAACATAATGTAATATATTCTAACAATTCGTCCGATCGACTCATAAAATTCGAATCGAATGTCTCGACATAAATAAATAAAAAACGTATTAAAAATGTAACAAACCGGATTGATTCGTTATTGTCGTTGCATATATTTTCATGGAAAATTGTAAATTATTGCAGACTGCATAGCGCAAGGTCAAACTATATATATGCAAGTTCCTATAGTCTATACGGATACAATTTAGATCTCATGTGGGGGATCCTACACAGCGTTAAAATCAAAAATTCAGTTCCTACACATAAATAGATAGATTTTCTAGGTCTTAAGAATGCCGGCTTAATAATCACGGCGACAAATTTCGTTGTAGTCTTTTTTGAGCACACAAAAACCGACAAATTTGAATCAGACCAAAACTAGGAGGTACCTTAAGTTTTCGGCACATAATTATATGTGGGAACGAAATTTATTAATTTTTGTATAGCAACAACTATAATGTTAACAATGATACTAACTACAACACTACGAAAATAAATTGTATTTCGTAGGTACTATAATAATAATTATTGTATATTTATTGTTCTGTGTTCAAATTGAATCACACAGTATACCTTCTATATAATTAAATTCACTACAACCAACATTGTGTTATGAATTGAGTTTCATTGAAAGATGTAATTGTTTTCTACTCTTTCACCTGCAATTTTTTTTTAAATATATATTTTATAACAATTATTGAGATAAACTAATATACCGTCGAGCGACCTCATCATATAAAATAGGAGATAAATGATTAAAAAATTATCTTCCGAGTTGATGACAGCGATAAACTGCAACCTATACACGATACACACTAACAGCCTGTGCACAAAATCAATTCGTCAGTTTATCTTTTATATAATACACGAACGTTAAATTAATTTTAGGTATACCCATCATCATATATAAGTATCCTGCATTAATCGATTTAACGAAAGAATAATAATTAAGTAATGCGTTTTAAACTAGCAGAATATGTCTATAATGATATAGGTATATAATAGGTATACCTATATACATACGTATATCATACTATATTGCCAACTCTAGAGCCAGATGAGGCTATTAAGCTAGACAAATAATATGATACTATACGATTAAAGAAAATTCGAGGCCACAAATTTGACCACGGGAATGTGAAACCGTATATGTTTTCTTGAAAACACATTATAATTTGAAATCTAAAACGTGTACCTGCCTAATACTGTATAGAGAAAAAAAACCATAGTAATAATTACCAATCCAATACGAGCCATCGCACAGCTAAAGGTAGGCGCGCGCACTGCGGTGCTGCACAATCGTTTGGACGTACGACAAAACCCGTAATGAGCGAAAGCCCATTTAAAACACTAAATTTTTTTTTTTTTTATCTCTTCGTCAACGCGCGTAATCTCGAGTACTGGCCAAATGTAATGTGTGTACACACACTAATAATAATAATATAATAGTTCGAAAACTATACAGTGCGCGTAAAGCACATATACGGGCCAATGTTTTGTACACACGACGACTGTAATAATATAGTATTATAGTGCGTACACTACAACACACATATGTCGTGTTTTTTGTTTTGTATACACTGCTATAATATATTTACTACTATAATATGACATCGCGACTACAACTAAATTGTAGAGAGATGGTCAGTATAACGCATTTAATATGCCTCGGAGTTTTAAAAACACACCACTACTACTCAGCACTCTGATGGTAATCATAATAAAGTGGTTTATATACTATAGGATATGAGCTGCGCGTATATTAATCACTGCAGCACTGCACATTATTAATATTATTATTATTATTATTATTATGCGATTGTCACTGCAGAAACCATATATATTTTGAAAATATATATATGTTATTTATTTTTTCGCCGCCCGGAGTTATGCAACGATGAAATAATATGCACACCACCTGTTATGTAAGTATGTAACATACCACGATGATGGACACCTGTAAATGTATTCCGAATTCTCTTGTGAAAAAAATATCGGTAAGCTTACCTATATATTTTAGTACAATACATATTATTACAATAACAGCACCTGCTCCTCATCAGACACAAGACCCTGCAGTGTGTAATAAAACTGTTTTCATTTTATAACAATAATGACGATCTACAGGGAGATTCATCGACCGTGCTCACCCCCCTCTTGTGTTCTTAAATAATGCGTTAGTTCCTTTTTTTTACCGTAAATCGTTACGCAGAAGATGTTTTTTTTGAAAATTTTGATGTATCATTTCGTCAATCAAAATCCAAATGAGTAGTTTCCGAGGCATTCAAATGTATATCGTACAAAGGAAAATGTTTTACACAGAGTATAAAATAAATGTAATTCTTAGTCGTTAGTACTTATTGTATTCTGAAAATGTTTACGGGTCATTAATAATTACTATAAATTTTAATTCATCATACTCTTCATATCTTCCAACCCAATAGGGTTATATAGTAACATCTCTAAAATAACTAAATAAAATCTCCATTTAAATACCCCAACATTTAAAAAAAAAAAACCATCTTCTTTATTAATTATTAATGTACAGTAGAAAAGAAAAGTTTGCGTAACACCATAGCTGGACACTTCTCAAATGGAATGTACTTGAGTATAATACGGTCCTTATGTAGGCAAGAATGTACGTAAGAATGTCATCAGTCAGAATTTGAATGCATTCATTATTAAAAGAAAAGAAATAGGGATGATTTCGTGGTTGGTGAATCACCCTGTATACATATATTACCATTTACCCCTCCTCCCCTGTACCATATCGTAGTCCCTGTAGCATTTTATTCGACACTTTATAAGTCGTCTGGGTAATATTATCGCGGCGACAGCGTCTGTTCAGTGTGTGTATGCATAAAATATTATATCTAAAGGGCAACCGTACAGATTGAAGAAAAAAAAATACATATTATTATTTTATAAATAGAATATTTTGCATCACCCGCAAATACACTGAAGCGCGTGTACGTCGACGAGAAAAATGCGCGTATGATGCAGTACCGTACATCGAGACGGGGGGAGAGAGAGAGAGAGAGAGAGAGAAAAAAAATATTTATTTTTTTCTCGTAATGTTTCATTCGGAAAGCATTTTATGTTTCACCTGGGATGTTTATTTCTGCGTGAATCGTAAAAAATACGACGAGAAAAAAATTTGTTGAGAATACAGACGACGCGAAAGACAAATATATAATAAACTAAATATCCTATAAAAAGTAACGTAATATTTTTCCCTCGAAGAAATCCGATCAGTCAAATACACCATTACCTATATATATAGCCATACCTACGGTTGATCACACGCTTTTTGAAGTCAACTTTTTTGAAATTCTAAAAAAAATTATCAAACGCGTTATTTTGAAATATAGTTACACCGTTACGTTTGTACAAAAACAAAAGAAAAAATTCGTTTTTTATGAAATCCAAAATACAACTTGTAATTAAGACATCTATAAAAAGAACCCACTATATTATTTATATTATATGATGATTAAAAAAACGGTATGTCTGCAAAAAATGGAGTGTTGCAATAACGCAATGATCGCGAGAGATAATTAAACCAACCATAAATTATAATAATAATAATAATATTATGTAAATGAATCACCCTGTACCCACGAGTCTGCGATCGTCGTCGGGGTCGGACTGACCACGGATGAGGAAGGTTTCCCTAACGATTTGTGCCACATACGAACATTCGTATATAGACCTGTGAGTAAGCAAATATGGTTGGTTTGCCCTCGAATATCACAACGATCCAATGACTCTGCGCGGGGTAAAATATTATATTCATGAACTCCGACCAATGGCCATTATTATTATTATTATTATTATAACCGACCACCAATATAATATTGTTATACTGGTGCAGATCTCGATATTTTTTCCCACGTTCGAGAAATTCGTGAGACCCGTTTGTCATTGATATAATATAATACCTATGATGGATATATTGGGTGACCGCGTTCAGCTTTTTTTTTCAAAAGAGATGATTTTCATTTACCACTTCACCGTCGTCGTCATTTACGGGAAAACTGAATATTATGCGTCAGTATAATATAAAACATCATCATCGACCCTACTGTGCATATAGATAACTAAAATCGTCGTGTCAGAAGGCTTATGAAAAAAAAATTGATAAGTTATACATTATAAAAACCTGTATTATTATACACTAAACGAATTATTAACTGAAATAATATTATTATTATTTAAGTATTATGTCATCGAACTGTACGGTAGGCTACGTATTATTATAAAAATATTATGGGAGATGTAACCAAATATTTTTCGTTATTTTTAAACGGCTGCTGCCGCATAATATGCAGGTGACAATCGTAATATTTTCTTCTCCTCGTATTATTTTATGAGACACGCATTGTCGAATCGTGTTCGTATTTTTTTCTTCGTTCTAGACACACATAAAATATAGTGTTTTATTCGGAACGCATAATATTATATTATTATTGTTTCGAAAAAAAAAAAAAACTTAAAAACGAACGTACCCGCGGTGTACCAAAGTATATGAATTGTATTTATCGTGCTTAATCCAGTATTCACGAAGGAAGATACGTCGTATAATATAATAATAACAGTATAATATTATACCCATATAGGTATATCGGAACACCGCGCGTAGTTCTCGCCCTTGAATAAATAATATTATATTTTATTTTTTGCGCGAAATATCGAGACGATTTTCAACAAGACTCGTCGGCATGTGGTATACCGTATGTAAGGTATAGGTACACTGCAGCAGCAGCGATTAGTATTAAATAATATAACCAACAGACACATTATTATAATAATATATATACACCTAAAGCGATTGTCTGCGGCGAGGACAAAATATTATTTTAGTGTCATTAGACACATTATCTATTATTATGATTTGATGACGAAAAAAAAAATATCCATAAATCTTCAAGGAAATACGTACAATCTTATAATATAGGTAACTCCATTACACACACACACACACACACACACACACACACACACACACACACACACACACACACACACACACACACACACATATACATAGGTGCTGAAGAATGTTCGGGTCGAATGTGTACATATATATATATTATACCGTATACATGTGATCATCAGCTGCAGTAGGTATACATATATACATGTGTGTGTGAGTGTGTGTGTGTGTTTAGGTATCGTTTATTATGTAGCCCCCTTCCCCCCGACCGGTAACGGAACGGTGTAGAATACGGTGGAATGCGAAGGTCATGCTGCGAGAGATACCTGCAGTATATACCGTCGTGTAGGTATATAATATTACACTACACTGTGCACAATGCCACAATGCCAGTAGTTGTGTGTAGGTACCGAGCCTACGGTGTTCCCGAAAAAAAAAAAAAGAAAAAAAATAACATTATAATATTATTGTGTATAATCAATCCGCCCGTGTCATTCGTATGGTTCCGGAACAATTAACCGGCGCGAATTTTACATGATCGCGAGGCACCGAGAGATGACAGGATAATACACTGTAGTTGTACGTGAGCGATAATAATGTAACATAATATTATAATATATAATAATATCGTCGTCGTCGTCGTCGTCGGGGTAACTATGAAAAACAACGAACGAGTAACGTGCGAATTACGAATTTGATAATATTATATTATTATATTGACAACGGATCGCCGGAAGTAATAATGTGTACCGCGGTGGCAGTGGCGTATATAGGGGGGAGGCCCCCTAGGCCAGAGCCCATAGTGAAATTGCAAGTTCAATTAAAGCATTTCATATATATATCACCACTGTTTAAAATTTTTCACCACGATTAATTTAGCCGGTTGATTAAAATCGTTGTTGAGGTATCAACAAGGAAATGATTGTCAGCACTTGCTTTGATGACTTTGAATGTTAAATTCAAAGTAAGATAACATTAAAAAATGAAATTGTCAATATTTGTTTAAAAACAATTAAAAAATTAATTTTACATAATTATTATAAAATAATATTGCGCAGTTTTTATTTGTATCATTTATTTATTTATGTCATAATTATAACCACCCTGCAGCTCTCTAAAATATGTATAGTTATGGCTATGTTAGTCGTGTTTGACTAGTGATAAATTGCCAAAATTGGCCCATAGTGAAAATAATTTGTATATACGCTACTGCGCGGTGGCGCAGTGATTTCGGGGAGTATAAAAATTCGATTTAGACGTCAAAAAGCCGAAATTTCCGATAAAAATGAAATATTATTAATATCATGAGCATAAGGCCATATTTTCGAATTCGGGACATTTGAGTTCCGTGCGGAAAATGTACATGTTTATTATTTTCATTAGAGAATTTCATCTAAGAAATTTCACAAATTTCTTTTTTGTTTTAAAAGTATCATAGTTTAATTTTTTTTTTGGGGGGGAGGAGGAGGGTTGGTTGGATTTTAAAAATTTTGAGTTCCTGCCCTACAGTTTGAAAGATCACATGGAAGACCGTCAAACGATGGTAAATTATTTAATGTTTTTCTGTTCGTGTAACAACATTATATAACATCCACTTATGTAGTGGTATTAATGACATATTCTGCCCCCATTGTTTAATAATTATCGATAAACGCGTGTATTTATATTATCTATACATTATTTTGAACTATGGTTTCATTATTTACTTAACGTTAATACTTTACTCGTAATATTAGTCATCACGTCTTACTATATACCTAAGCAATATTGATTTTTCTACATTTTATTTCTGCATACACAAGTATATTGTTATAGAATTGTAACTTTGTAGTAGCGTGTTCGCACAATAAATATTTAATCGACTTAGACGGAGATCAAGAATTTAATATGAAATCATAGAAAAACCTTTTTTGTTTTTGAGCTTTAGGGTCATCGCTCATTTACCTATGACTGAAATGCAGAATATGCTTACAGCAGATCTGGAGGTCATGAAATACATACAATGCATATTCCTAAAATATGTATCTACAAAACACTAGGTAGGTACATATACTAAATTATATATGATTTAAATATAGTGTGAACAATTGTATGTTGTTGAATATGAAATAATTGGTGAGAAATAGTTTTGAGGGCTGGTCAAACTCCGCCCTCGTCGAACAAAACTTGAAATGACTATGACGCTGAGTTATGATAATTGAAGCAATATTTAAATCGTTTGCGCATAGTTAAGTTTAATCAGATTGTCCCATATTAATAACGACTGCTGCCAAATACTGGTGAACTGAAAACGCGTGTGTTGCTTATAAATTTAAAGGGGCGTCGATTTTAACCCCTAAATATAGGGGTTAAAATAATTTGCCTATAAATACGATTAATTAACAGTTGTTAATTAATTGGAAAGTCAGTACTGTCTATATAGATAGTCCAAGACTTGATGCCAATATTTTGTTGCAATAAAATTCAGTATGATTATCATCTAGTGTAATAAGATTATAATTTATAATAATATATCCGTGTATTGTGATATCAAAATAGTTGGCCTGAAATCGAAACAGGATCGTTTCGCGTCGAACTTTTATCGGATCGGGTAGAGTGTGTTCGGTTGTCATTCATATAGACACCACATAGGGCTCATAGCAAGGCTGGGCAAGTCAACGTTTTTTTTAACTCGTTAAGTTAAGTTATTTTAAAATAATTAAGTTAAGTTAAGTCAAAAATTACTCTTATTTTTTTTCGCAAACTCGTTAAGTTAAAAGTTAACTTTGAAAAAAAGTAACTTAACTTAGTGTAAAGTTAAAATTTGTCTAATTTGCAAAAATAAAAAACCAGACACATAATATGGTAGATTAGATAGTTTTTCTTTACGTCCAAGAAAATGACTGGGGAAATTTAAAATGATACATCAATGTAAAATAACATTCAAAAATTTGTATTATTCTTGGGACGAAAATTAACTTAATTTAGATTTAAATTAACTTGAAGTTAACACGTTAATCTGGAAAAAAAGTAACTTATTAAATTAAAAGTTAACTTGAAAAAAAAAAGTAACGAGTTAATTAACTTAATTAAAATTAACTTAACGTTTTAACTTAATTTTAATTTTTAACTCGTTAATGCCCAGCCTTGGCTCATAGGGTGTCTGCGTTAATACATGTCATCGCCTCGTATACGATATTATATCTTGTAATATATTCAAGTGGGTCGTATATTGTAACCCAAGTGGTTATCACATATTATAAAGTCATGACATTTACCTGGTATTTCTTGATGCTCTCCAACTGCTCCTTAGTGGGCTCAGTGGACGATATGGTAACGATCGTGTTGTTGTTGATGCTGGCTTGGTGAAGCTGCTGTTTGATCACGTCGGACCTGGGCGGTGGAGGTGGCGGGGCCGCGTGTCTCTCTGATACCGCAGAACCGTTCTAAAAAAATAAGTATTACAATAATATTATATGTTTGGCGTGAACGAAATTTGTCAAAAACGTGTGCACATAATGATATAAAAACATAATATACAGCACGAGGGGCAAAATATTACCCACGTCCAGCAAAAATGACAGAAAATGAAATGGAAACGCCGCGGCGAAGTCGAGAAAGTGAATTCGGTTGAATACTTTGAATGCATTATATTATATTATGAACTAATGGTCATTGTAACCTATGAGGTTTGACCTGTAGGAATCGATCTGGAGAAAGGCACGACTTACGAGATACTTTATGGAGTCGTATTGGTACAATAAACCATAATATACAACGTATAGTCTTGCATCAAACCCATTATACGGTTATATCTTATATAAATAATTATTATTAATAATAAGCAAATAGAATGAATAAATTTAAAATCTGAAAAATTTTCACTCGAAGATATTATAACATTATACGTATTAACTGATACAATTTGAAATACGATACTGGGACGAATGAGACAACGAATTCATCATACCGTTTCCAAGAACTAGGTTATGCGATTAATACAAAAATTTTTTACACATACATTTATCGTCGTATGTTACTGAATTCATTTGATGTAACTTTATAATATTAATGTGCATTACGTGATACTAGAGTAAAATAAAATTAACGACAATTTTATTGTACCGAGTTGCTTGTTCTTGTACACAAATAAAAACAATATATAATAAATATCAAATGTCTACTAATTTTATCGTAGAATATAATACCAAATAAATAAATCATTGATGTAATATCTTCGAATAATGTAGCTAGTAAAATATATAGACACAATTTAAACAGATAGATATAGAAACTGAACACTAAAATAAAAATACTATCAAGATGGAAATGTTTTATGCTCATGGCCATTAAAATAACTTGTGAAGTTAAGTATCTTTTAACCTTTTTTTTCCAGTTCCCAAATACTTGTCTCAAATTTGAAAAAGTAATACTATAAAATATTTAATATGTACCTATACAGAATAATATATACTATTATGTAGGTGGACAAGTTTAAGATTAACTCCGGTGAGTATTTATTATATAATATAAAAGTCAAATCTTCTGTGTTTATGAATTATGTATGCTGTGTATAACTTCATATATAATGACAGAATGTAATCAATTTAATATATTTAATACATTTTTAATTTATTTACGTGTTTAAGTTGCGTACATTATGCTATACATAATATTGTAACACTTATTACTGAAATAATAAATTACAAAAATCTAAAATCATTTAACACCACGATTTATATTATATTTTATTAAAGAATAATGACAAATCTTGATTTAGATAATTATAAAAAAAAATCAGGTACTTATGTAATGTAAAACTATAAATATAATATTATGTGTTCAAACTGATTGCATTTGTTAAATATTTAAAACTTTCAGCGACTCTGTCCACAAAAAGTAATGTTCCGGAACGTGATCAAAATACCGTAATGAGCTATAACAACTCGAAATCACATACTTTGCATTTTTTTTTTAATTACAAAAATGCGGCTTAACGAATGAAAAAAATATTACATACCTATACCGCATAATAACTAATAAGAATATTTATTTATTTCAAGTGCTTAGTGAAAAAAAAAATTAATTTGCACAAAGATCGTTTTAAAACATAATATGTACGCCAGATGAACATCAATAATTATTAAATTAAGTGGGCAATTGAAACACCTAAACCTACTCAACAATTTAACACGCGAATACTGCAGATTGGTTGACTAAAATGACTTATCAAGAATTTTAAAACATGTTTACATAATAGTGACAGGGTCCTCGACGTTTAAAACATTAACGAATGTGTATTAAAATGTACTTTATTAATTTATCAATGCAATGTTGCAATATTAATAATATTATCATATTATAATTTGAAAAACAAACAAATAATATTATGTTAAATTATAAGAGCGTAGTTTAAAAAATAGTTAAAAACAATAAGTTGAGATACATAACATAAATTAACAATTATAACGTAAATCTACCGCTAATCTAAATACATGAAGTAAAACGAAACACTATTTAAATTGTTTATTGAACTATTATTTGCAGGGTATTGTTTGGATGTCTAAAATAGAGAAAAAGAAATTATTAAGTAAAGACAATAACTATAATAAGGATATTTCTTTTAACGTCTTCGTACATATAATACCATAGTGTTTATACTTTTAAGTATAATGTAGTTAAGTACGCGTCTCGTTAGTGCTACTACAGGTTCGTGTTGTTTGAATATTTAAATTATTTTTTAACAATATAAGGTAGTAATTTGATATTTAGAATAAAATGAATGAGAATAACAGGTGTGAGATTTAAACACATCTCATTATATTTTACTTATTTCGTCGAATTAAAAAGACAGTTTTTACATTTATTTCCATTAATTTCCATGAAAAATACGTCACACCTAAGTGCACTGTCTGCGTGGGTATAGTGGGTAGGTAGGTACATTAGACAAAATTCCACCTTAATGGGTTAATCATTATTAAAAATACCGAGCACTGACAAAAAATCGAAGAGAAGATGTTTCTGGGAAAGAGACGACTGCAACGTTCGGACTAGAACTAAGTGAAATAAATTGAATTCGTCGGCTTCAAATTCTATAAAACAATATTGTTTGATAACAATAATTATTAACTGTCGATCCAATATAAATCCATAAAATAATAATACTCGACAAACGCGAAACTATATTTTGGTGACTTGGAAACTATTTGAACGGTCCAAGACCTAACTATTATAGCCAATCACCGCCTCCGGGTTGATGAATTTCATCTTAGACAGAAACCGCGAGAGTGAACAACCAGCTGCGACGACGGCGTAAAAATGTGACGTTTCGTCTTGACGTCTTTGCCAATTATTGTAAAGTATCAATCTGCTATACGACTGCGGCGAATTGATAATAAAAATAATAATAACTATATTGGAAGAAATAATTTTATTTTGGTCGTGAGTAGGCCATGTATTATCCGTGTAATAAACAGCGGTCGGTACATTAGGCATTTGCATAATATACATTTTGTCCGGAAGGTATATATAGGAGAAATCTGATTAAATTGGTTTCGGATTTCAAATTTGAAAATATTTAAAACATGTTTCAATGTATTTTGCTGAAAAATGAACGCTGTAAATTGAATTGTAGGGTTTTTTTATTGCATATATACAGTATATAGCTGTACTAAGATTTTAAATTAATCTATTTTTCTATCGTTTTCTCCGTTTTGCTTCAGATAAAACACAATATTATTGCAATGAATAACTTCATGATTTTCTACTGCTCCAAGTCTGGACATATTTTTGATGTAAACACAAAAACGGGGGACAGACTCGACGAATCCGCCTAAAATCGGACGTAAGTGGTAAGTCCAATATCGTTAAGATGGGCAGTCGTGTTTATGTGTTTACATCAAAAATTCGAGTAATGTACAAAATTAAGAGGACGTCTCACCCGCATGTGTTGTCTCCGTCTTACACACGTACGACATAGACAAAACGCGTTTAGGCAGTCTGAGTATAACTCGCTCAATTTTGGTTCTAGAGTAAAAATACCTATCATGAAATTGAATTGTGATAAATATTTCTAAGGGCAAGACGCTGCGGTTTTTTTAAAAAATTTAATTTTTTAAAAGTCAAAGGTATTTTAAAAATGGTGAAATTTTTTCTATTTCTAAACGATATATTGAACGTTATATTGGGTATAATGGAAAAACCGCAGCGTCTTGCCCTTGGAAATATTATCACAATTCAATTTTATAATAGGCATTTTTACTCTAGAACCAAAATTGAGCGAGTTATACTCAGACTGCCTAAACGCGTTTTGTCTATGTCGTACGTGTGTAAGACGGAGACAACACATGCGGGTGAGACGTCCTCTTAAGAAAGATGATTGATTAACATTGTAATATTAATATTAACAGTACATACATTGTAATTGTGTTCATAAGTATTCGATTTTATAATTTGTTTAATTATTTTAATATATTTGTTAACATTTTAGATTCTGTGCGGAACGATGAATATGTTGATTTTACTATGTTGTGTTTTTTAGTTTTGTGTCCGTGTACACGAAAAGTAATCGAAAAGACGCTTCGATTTTCAACTTTGGAGTGGTTTCTATATAGTGGCAAATCGGATCTAGTAGGTAGCTACTTTTGAGAGGTCAAAATGGAAAATTCAAAGTATTTTTCAAAAGATTAAAAAAAGGTTTCTTATAAGTACGAGTCTCGTAATTCATACTGTAGGTAAGCAAATAATCTAAAAATATATAAACACTACAGTTTTTCTTTATAGATATTTTAAGTTCACATTTGGACGACATATATTAGATAATTAAACGAAGAATAACAATTTTAGGTATTTTGTTGTAATTTAAAAATACTATTGGAGGGTTTTTAAAACTTTTTAAATATACGTATTGTAATATTTTATACTGCACACAATGGAATTTTCAAATGCAATGTTTTTGGACAAAATTAATTCAACCTACTTATTACTTATTAATAGCAATAATATCATAAATTATACGTCTTGCAGTAATATAGGCTTAGAAGACGGTCTTCGCTCAGAATCGTTTTACGTATACCTACGATATAATAATAACATTGTATTCAAATTTAACACATCCATTACAGTGATCCACTCGACACCTACAACTTTCCGTCAGGGCGGTACCCACTTGCCCATCTTATTTCCGATCAATCCACTGTAGTCGAAAAAAATTTTAAATCACGTTCGACCGTTTTTTTTTCAACCCGCGTAATATTGCACATTTCACTTCGTTCCTATAATATATATACATTATATAGCACCATTATCGATGGCACGCATAATTCAATAACGAATGAAATAATTTATTTTAATTGCAAATTTGCCGTCTGCAGTCTAAATAAATTGCATATAACTATTTAAACGCGTATCTCATGAGACTATTAAGGGCTATCAAGTCCCAAGCCCAGAATTTATGGCGAATTGCAGAAATGCATTAATATAATGCGGTCGGAGCGATAGATAGGACTAGAGTAGATCGTAGGCGTCTAATTAATATATCTATATGTATAGGTACCTGGAGTATGGCAAGAGAATGCGCTGTCCCCCACACTTTTCGACTTGGCATTACAAAGAGTAATAAGAGAAACGCAAGACAATATGGAAATGGACGTGATCGGAAACAATATTTTACTAGCTTACGCGGATGACACTGTCGTTCTTGGTGAATCCAAAACAGATTTGATAACAAACACGCTTAAACTGTTAGAAAAAAGTGAAAATATGGGGGACTTAAAATAAATAAAACAAAATACATGAATATTATTACGAGGAAGCCGACAAGTGAGGATGCCAAACCTCAAAGTTGGACTTTTTTTTAACAAGTTAATGATTTCAAATATTTGGTGGCTAATTTAAACCAAATAAATAATATATGCACAACGAAATAAGACTGAGACTCGCTTCAGCAAATGAAGGATATCATACAATGAGAAGTAGGTACATATTATGTTTATACCAAGACAGTAGCCAAAACGAAGCTTTTTATAGCTTATCGACGTCCTATTATTTTATGTATGCCTGCGAGACCTGGGCTTTGACGAAAAGTGATGAGCTAAGACTTCTGCAGATAATCGAAAGGAAAATGTCAAGAAAGATATTTGGTCCGACGCTAAGCCCGGAGTCGGGAAGTTATGAAAGAAGGACAAAATATGAAGATATCGAAGACATTTTCAATAGAACAAACGAACAAAAGTGTCTGGAAGCTCTAATAAGACTAGAGTGGGCAGGTCATGCCAGGGGCGTATTTATGGGAGTGGCTGGGTGGGCTGCAGCCCCCCCCTGAAATTTCAAGAAAACCCAAAAAATATGAATGTCAATAAAACTTTATTTGTTGGGTAAAAAAGCTTGAACATTTAATACAAGGCTCCTGCTTTATTGTTACAATAGCAGTTGAAAAATATTAAAAATCCTTAGTCATAGTTTTTTTATAAGCATTTAAAGTTCGAATCTTGACAAAATACGGAAAAATCACAAAACTTAAAATTTTGCTGAATGTTTTCATTTTTTATACACCAAAAAAATTTGAAAATATTTTGCCCCTTTTTGAGCTATTTACGGACATTGACAGTTTTCATTATTCTTAGTTTTTTTTCTATAAATATCAATAAAAAATTTTTTGTTGGGTAAAAAAGCGTGAAAATTTAACTCAAGGCTCCTGATATATTGTTTACAATATTAGTTGAAAAATATTAAAAATACATAGGCACAATTTTTTCTTATAATCATTTAAAGTTCGAATTTTGACAAAATTTATCAAATTTAAAATGTAATAAATATTTTGTAATTAAAAATTTATAAAATGTTCAACTTTCATAGTTAAGGATTGAAAATTTAAAACAATGGTCCACGTAAATAGGTAAATATATAAATAACTTTATTCACAATAATATCATCAAATATACTTATAGTAATATCATAGGCTGACTGACCGTTTTCGCTTAGAATCGTTTTTCTTATACAATGATATTGTATCATTGAATTCAAATTTTACACCATCCATTACAGTGACCCACTTGTAAACTACTGTACAGCAGAGCGACATCCACTTACCCACTTTTTTGTTTTATTGTGTGACTATGTTGATCATTTTGTTCAGCCCCTCCCGAAATAAAATTCTGGATACGCGACTGCGGTCATGCGTATGGCGGACAAAGGAGGTTTTAATCAACAAACACAGCGTGGAAAGCCTATATAGCAGGGGTGGCCAAACAGTCGATCGCGATCGACTGGTCGATCTTGGACGATTTCTAAGTCGATCCCCATTGTTAGAGTTTTTTAATTATTCTTATATATTTGCAATTTAGTAGATACACTTATTAAATTCATATGTTTCGGATTAACCTGTTAGTGTGAAATGGCATTTTCTCACATGAAATTTATAATTTATAGAAGTTGAGTAGGTTAGTTTTAGACTTTAGCACAGCGTCTTCGCTTGGTCATGATGTGCAATGACACGCTTCCACATCAACAGTAAAATGTTAATACATTTTAAAATTACTTAAAAATTTAATATGAAACACTCATTTTAGATAACTTAACACTTTAATTTTTTTATTATTTATACAAGTATGTTTATTATTAATATTAAATATTTTTTTTACATTAGTCGATCCTAAAAGAAAAAAAATACCCTCAGTAGATCTTAATCAAAACAAGTTTGACCACCCCTGCTATATAGGAACGACGAGAGTTGAAGAGGCTGATGATCGGGAAAGTCGGAGAGACCCGGGGACTGGTGGTGTAAGCGGAAAATACCCATCATAATGGCTTGTAAAAATAAAATATAAATGTGTAGGTACCTGTTGGATTCCGGGTGTGCGGTTCGCCCTGGACGGCGGTGGGTACCTCGGCGGCGTCTTGTTGCGGGCGATAAACGAGTCCGGAACGTCGACGGCCATCTCGCGGTGCGGCCCGTTGTCCAGCGCGCTCATCATGACCATCATGTCCAGCGTTTCGCCTGTCACGTCTTCGACGGCTCGCTTTTTTTCCAGCGTACCGACTTCGCTACCCACGCGAACCAATCCCCCGCCACTTCTACGACGAGACCTGCGAATCAAGCACGCACGACTTAGCATAACATTATAATATTTACTATACAATAATGGTCAGTGGCGTGGCGAGCATATTACAAACCCTAAGCAAAATATTTAAACAATAACCCACCCACTACCCCCTAGTACATAATACATCAATTTAAAGATGCATGCTAATTTAGAATTTTTCTTATAGAACGTCATAAATAATTTATCATAAACAAAATACTACAATAAATTAATTATACATTCATTCACGCAAATTTTAATTTTTAAAAATATAAAATTAATGTCTAGGGCTAAGCAATTGCATTAGGTAAATGTCGTATACCACGCCACTGATAATGGCGGGCTGCAAGATATTATATATTAAAATGAGAACAATTAGCTACAGTTCGAGCTCGAACTAAGTATATTATAACTTATAACAATACAATGCATTTAACTCTAAAAGTGCATGGTTAATAACGATGATAATATTGACGACTTGACTAGGTTTTAAAAGAAGTCAATCAATAATTGTTTTTAATCATCATCCCCTGCAGCAAGCACGATATATAGTGGTCGTTCAACTTTCAATTTTTTTTTTATTTAATGCTTACTAAAATATGTGTTGTTAATGTATTCCATGTAAGTACTATTCCTTCTTATTTATATATTATATGTTGCAATTATATATGTTTGTGTCGGCTAAGTTATTATAAAATCAAGGATCTGTGTTATAAATCACCATACAAAAGAAGAATTTGTTTATTGATATTTTAAAGTCGTTAGATATTCAAGTAGTTAAACAAAAGTATATCAATTAATTAGCTTAAACTTTAAGCCATATAGTTAGTTATAGGTAGTCACTTGTATAAATATACTGGATGATTCTTTTATCAAACAACACTCAATATTTCAAAAAGTGTACATTTTTTTACATACTTTCAAGTCATTTATAAATCAACGTTTTGATAAAAAAAATATATTTTGAAATATTTTTATCCTTATAATTTTTTATGTTTTTTACTTTTTTGAATGACAACATAGGGTTTTAATTTTATATTCTAAAGTAGAATATTTTTCTTAGTATTTTGATACATTAAAATCAAATTTGAGGCGAGTAGTTTATGAGTTATAAGTATTTAAAGTTTAGACGAGCGGGGTGGAGTAGTTCGGGGTTACCCCTCGAAATGTTTGTCCACTTCACCGCTCATCAAATTTTGAATATTTATAACTCATAAACTACTCAACTCAAATTCGATTTTCATGTATCAAAATACTAAGAAAAATATTCTGCTTTGGAATATAAAATTAAAACCATATGTTATTATTCAAAAAAGTAAAAACTTAAAAAATTATAAGGATAAAAAATATTTAAAAATATAATTTTTTAATAAAAACGTTGTTTCATAAGCGACTTGAAACTATGTAAAATAATATTTTCAAAAAAATTTACACTTTTTGAAATAATAAGTGTTGTTTGATAAAAGAATCACCCAGTATACAACAATATATTTAACTGAAAGTATTATTTTTCTAATTAACTGGGAAACCCTAAGTTGTTGTAATGGAGTATTTAACCAGTTAAGTCAATTAGAAAATGTACTAACTAGTTAACTATTAAGTTAAAAAGTTTAAAAAAATTACATTTTTAACTTTTAACTATAATGTCATCCTTTTAATATATTCATATTATAACATAACATTATAATATCATATGCCGTCGACAACGGACACGTTCAGTGGCAATTTCCCCAGTGCATCGCAACCTCTTACCATAAGACGATGCTTTGCATGACATTATGTTACATTGTTAATAAATATGCATTATGCATTGTAGCATACATATGACGATTTTATTATATTATATTCAACAGTAAAAATTAATATAATCTTTTAATAATCGTATAACTATTATAAATTATAATGTCGAGGTACCTATATCGAGTTTAATAATGTAATTTATTTTGCTCAATATATTATATCATGGTGAAAGAGACGCGTTGCGTGATAATTGTAAAATGAAACTTGTTAGATTAGTAAAGTCAACCACGTCGTTCAAAATAAAAACGTTTTTATAAAAGCTTTTTTTTAGAATTTGTTTTCCTCATGTTGTAGGTACGTTCGTTGGCTTGTATCGTGATGAAGTGACAGGGGCATTTTCCCACTACAAGACGAGTTTTTACATTCATATTTAAGTTATTTTATTATTTATGCATAGTTTATTTTATATAACTTTAATATAATCAGATATAGCTATTGACAACTCATAATTATTTAAAGTACCTGCAGCATACGCTGTATGATATACATATAAATATATAATTATAAAATTGAAAAGCGTTTGATTAGTAGTTGTACAGTAAGTAATAATTATTAAAAATAAATACATTTTTAGAACTATTATTTTCTCTTGGTTGATTTCATTCAAAATTGTTCTCAGATACGCCACAGCGCGTATGAGGACGAATAAAATATGTCAACACGGTAAAAACGACAACTGCAGTCAAACGTCAATATGCAAACTAAATATTATAGAAACCCAATGGGAAAATGTTGTTGGAATTCGAAAGGATCCGATAAAAACGAAATACATCTTTGAGAAAATAATAGAACCCTAATTACGGTGACGAGGTCGTAGATAATGCACCGTCTGCTGACAACAGCCACAGCTAAGTGCTTACCGGTAGGGGCCTCGAACGTTTGCGGTCGCAGACTTAAAAAATATTATTTTCTCTTATTAGTATGGGTTAAGTATCAGTATTAGTTTACGTCAATATAATATTATTATAGCTAGAGAAATTTTCGCTTTTTCTGTAGTTTGCCAGAATTCTTAAAAAATTATTTTGACGACATTTAATTTAAAAACTGTACATAATATTATAAATTCTTCGTTTGACGTTAGATGATATCAGTGTAGGAGATCGTGACGTCCAAGACGAGTGGTGTGCGTACAATTTAACCTTCATAGACAAACATTTTCTTCAAAAAAATGTGTTCAACGCGACGATGAGGAATATTTTAGTACGTTCTTATATAGTGTGTTATTATAAACAACTAAATAGTGTTACACGAAGTCGCATTTATAATTAGTGAAATGAAACATTATTAAAACATAATTATTGTTCTGCTGTATATTATAATACACAGTTACTAACGGAAACACGGTGTATTATAATATTATATGACTACCCATTTATATATTTCGAGAATTGTGAGAAAAACAGAAATAAAGTAAATAGTCTCTGCTTGGATTAAAACGGTATGCGGTAAAAGTAATTGTTGTTCAAGACATATTAAAACATTAAACTGCAATGTATAATTTACAATACATATTTGGACATAATTATATTTTGATGTGTTACTGCCGTAATAATATACGCGTTATTGACAGACAGGACGTGTAGTTATAGTGCCTACCCGTTTCTGCAGTAAGAGTAGCTTGCAATTTTGGTTGCCTACACACCCGCTGTTCTGGGCGCATGACAAACCAATTATTGTTTTAGACAAGGTAATCGTGAACAAAAAAAAAAAAAAAAATAATACATTTTTCCTTGAACTCGGTAAAAAAATAATTGAGCGTGTCGGTAAATTTGAAAAAAATAATAAAAATAATAAACAACAACAGTATATCATAATATATAGGTATATAGGCAAATAGCCACAAACAACGCAGGCGCAACATCATGACCAGTACAACTATACAACATAATATTTGAATATGAAAATTCAGGATTTTATCATTTTAGTTACGCTAATGCATAATATGCTCATATGCAACGGCAATATATAGTAATAATAATAATAACAACAACAACGATTTAGGATTTAGGTGGTTTGGCAACGGAGCAAAACGGCGCTAATACGCCGCTTAAATCCCTCTTGCAGAAACCATACATGAAATCGAACGAAACGTATATCAATCAATCACTGTAAGCCTATAATATAAACCACATCGCGACCATGTACAATACCGTTGGATATAATAATAGGTAATATGTTTTCAATAAGTATGTTACGTATAAAGTGTACCACTACTGTGTGTACAACACTGTAATAGCCTAATTGTATGATATAATTTCAATCGTTATGTATTGGTGTGATATATAATATTTAAGAGCATTGGACGTATTTTGGACGTAAAGCGACTCGTTGGATACGAGTAGGTACACCAGTTGACTACTGCACGTCTATATATTATGATAGATTTCGAATGAGTAGCAAAATATTCAAAAGCCAGGAAAGCTCGAGGTTCAGAATTCTGTAATAATAATAATTATTTTTTTTTTTTACAAGATATTTACAATCTATTCAGAGAACAATAAGCAAATTAGATAAGAGTAATAAAAAACATGAGTGATATGGCGGATGAAGCCACCCAATGATGACACTACCTATTTTGTTTAGAGTTTAGTAGGAGGATTTGATCTAGGATTCAAGTATCTAGCAGGTCACGACACCAATTACGTTTGAGACGTCCGACGGGGTTACCCGGAATCGAAGGGACTGCTAGAATTTTTTTACAAGAGGGTTAGGATGATTAAAATTATTATTATGAAAAATATTTAATTTCTCGTTGTCAATAAAAAAAAAAAATAATAATAAAAACAATTAACTACAGCACCTATAGTCAAAGCTATAAATTAGCACTAACAAAATAGGCATAGGCTGTATTGGAAAAAAATCGATAATGTAAAGTAATTAAAAATAACTTAGTAAAGACTAAACGGACAATTAAACCAATAGGTTGGTAGAACATTCATTGAATTTTAAATTCTAACACGATTTTTGTTTATTTTTTCCCCTGTAGATACAGAATAGTGTAATATATTCGTATTACTATGGAGAATTAGAGAAAACAAATTCGACCAGAATAATTAATTAGTACAAATCCAAGTGTATCGGTTATTTACGCACGGTATATAATTAAATCTGCTGATGTCGTTTAAGGCTGCAGTATTTGTAGTGATGATTATGGCAAACACGATTTGCACAGAAATGCATGCAATTTATCAACAATTTAACATG